TGACTCCAAGATGAATTTTGACTTGAATGTTACAAAGTAGCAAACCCGACCAAAATTTTTTTTTTTTTTTTTTTAAGCTAAAGCCAATGATAAATGCAACATTTCAGGAAGAAGTCCAAATTCCAAAATAATGTCATTCCTACTATTTTAAGGATAATCTAGCTGGTCTTTACTTATTTTTCTTAAACACAAGTTGGTCTGAAAATGGAGAGTAAGAAATACCACCTAACACCACTGTGCATTTTACAGCAATAATGTTCATTTGGTAATATTAAGAAGAAAAGCATGTGTCTAAAAGGAAGGATGGAGGTAAAATGGAATTGAATTAGTACTAATAAGTCATTGACAAGGTCAAGAGATGAATTTTTTTTTTTTTATAACTATCAGACTAGCATAATTTCCCCAGTTGGTTAACTTAGCATTTAAAAACTTCCACAATTTTTTTTTTTCCCTGATAGAAAATAATTATTAGACTCTAATCATCTCTATTAACCACCTCCCTTCCGCCAAAAAAGAGGAAGAAAGAATGATTAGGGAAAAGCAAAATAAACACGGGTCTACCAAATCTAGTTGGATTATGGCAACTACGGAACTAAAACTAAAAAACTTACTTCAATTTGGGTTACTTAAGAATTTTAGTTTAAGGGTCTCTTGTTCTATTGGTCAGCTTAATGAAGTTTACCACCTTCCCCAAAGGAGTCTCTATTGAGACTTTCCAAAACTCCCATCATTTTCCAAGGAAAGTTGTCAGGAGGCTGCTATTTGATTCTGCTATCTTTCTTAGTATCATATGTTATACTTCCTTGTTATCCATAAAGAAAGAACATGTAGACGTGAAGGTTATACCATCATGACTTTTTGGGGGGAACAGGGCCTGCTGTGTGCTACAGGGCCTTTTTTAATTGAAAGAAAATCCAAAAATAAGGAGTTTAAAAAACTTGTCAAAATACTCTTTTCCAATCATTTCCTTAAAACTTAGTTTGTGAAGAACCAAAAAAATAATTTGTTAAGGTAGGTTTTAAATATTAATCCACAAATTCATAAACTCACAAATGACAGAATATACAAAAGAGAATTATGAAAAAGTTGTCTTTGTAAAAAACAAAAATAAAACAAGGAATTCTTCTGTTTTCAAAATATAAGATTAAAATTTTCCTATCTAACACTGAATGGATTTTTAACTTCCAGTTCTCTTTTTTTGAGCATTTTTATTCTCATGAGTCTGGGAATCAGAACATAGCAAAATATTTGTCCTTAAAACTTTTTTTTTTTTCCTGGGATTTAAATCTCTATCCTTAAAAAGACATGATCCTGGGATTTTCTCAATACACTTAACGTTTTACTTTAATAATTTTTCCAAAGTTCTTCTCCAAGACATTCAAGTCAGCCCTAATTGCTAAGACTGCTTAAATTCTCCATCCAAAGCAGCGCCCCATGCCTGGGTATCCTGTCCTGCCTTACATGTGAAGGGGGGAGGCACGCACACATCATTCAGACAAAACTAGGTGTCCTGACCTGTACAGCATTCATCCCAGTCCAGAATTGAAAGCTTCAGGGCAAAATGCCTATCTCAAAACAAACACCCTACCCCACCTTAAAACAATAAAAAGCATTAAAAAAACCCCAAAAAAACTGCTAGATTTCTTCATCAATGTGTGCAAGTTTTTAAAATCACAATTTGCCCATGAATAAACATATATATTTTTTTGTTAAAAAAAAAAAAAAAAAAAGGTAAAAGTTTTTATTCCACCGTATAGGATACACTGGAGCAAAGGGTGTATGTAAAAAGGTTAACTGACTTCTCATTATGACATAACACGAGCATCTTGAGCAATTGCGAGTGTGTAGAGACATGATAACTCCCTGGGTGGGGATAGAGTATGTAGGGGCAGGGACCATGGCCTGGTCTGGGCTACTGATCTACCAGAAAACAGCCTGAAACAGGAAAGAGCACACATATGCCACTTGGAATGTATGACGCAAACCCCAGCCTTGAAACAAAGAACAGGAAACAGCTCTGCTGGCTGTGCTGGAGAGAAAGCACAGAGAAACATTTAGCCGGCCCTCCCTGACCCTATATTCATGAGCAGCTGGAGTTTTTTAAGACAACAACAGGGAGGTGGAGGTGTTTGTTCTATGGGTGTGAATAATAACACCAGCTTTATACAGGGGACCTGCCCTATTTACCAATAGGGGCTGCCACATACAGTAAACATCATAAGTAAACATCTGATTTTATCATCTTCAAGCGGGAGAGAGACCTTCATAATTAGCACCAGCCTCCCTTCCCGGGATTTCTTTTGTCCCTTTCTTCCACATCCCCATGGCCCTGACCAAATTCTGACTTAGGGTGATTTTCGTTCAGCTCAGAGCAACCTAAGAAAAATGAAGGCAGAGTATGGCTTTTAGGAATTCAGATTACAATTGGGGAACCCCACACAACTGAAAACTAGACCAATTCTAAATTCCAAGACACAGATTGTGGGACATCTAGAGGCACTCGGAATTTTCACTGTCTTTTTCAACTGCACTGTAACAGAACGCAGGCATACAGCTGCACATGTTCTACGTGAACACACATCCACAGAAATCCACCTCAAGAGAAGGTAATTCGGTTTCTGATGTTTCACTTAATCCAAAATTGGTATACAATTTGTAGAACAGAGTACCACCTTGTAAAAGATATTCTAAAAATGTCTATTTTCTTTTGAGTATTTTTAAAGTAATCCATTCATAGCCCCTTTCCCAATATTTTGCTTTACTTTGTTAGCCAGGACTATTTAACTCAGCTTCCCATTATAAGAGGTTTGAGAATCTGTGTGTAGATATAATTACATACATACATACATATATGCATTAAAAAATGGCATCACTGTGCCCATAGCAACCAAGATTGGCTTTTAATGTCAAAAGTTTGCAGTGAAAAAACAATAGCTTTCTCCAAAATTGTGTCACTGTTTTCTATCTGACAAGGTTTTTGTGGTCTAAGAAGCTACTTTTCTTTGTTAATCTCACAATGTTGTTTTTATATTTCCATTCTCCTTCATGCAAGCCAAATGTTCCTACCTGTGTATCGTCACTCAACTTACTAATACTAGGTTTTTTCTACTAGTTCTGCAGCAAATCCCACTGACCATAGAAATTGAGAAATAGTTTCTCCAGGGAGTTTAAATTAATCAAACATCTCATTTCAAGCTAGTAACACCTAAGGTCAAGTAACACAGTTCTTGTCTCAAGCCACAAGAGACACTTGCTGACTCTTTCTTTTAAAAACACTATCAGCTCACAAAATTTTGGAGATACTAATGCAATCAGATTTGTCCCCCTCTAAAAGCAAGTCTTCCATCGGGTCACGCAGATTATCACCCAGATGGACTCCACTTGTAAAAGTGCACCTCAAACTCATACATAAAACACTCAGAAAAGGACAGCACAAAACTGCTCTGTGAAAAAACCTATGACCCTACTGTCCACTTAATTTTCCTTAATAATTGCAGATACTAAATTTAAATGAAGTCAGAACACCACTTCATGCTTTTCCCCAGATACCAAAGACCCTCGTGAAAACATAGCCAACATATTTAAAGTGTCTTGAATGATAACACTGGGAGAAATAAATTAGTGTAAAATGTTTATTTTAGTGAAATACAAGGTGAGCAATTTGCAATTTTCGTTTAACTGACTTATTAAAAGCAAGTCCTATTAACATATACTCTATGTAGAATTACCGTATGTTGCTGTAAAATTTAAGGCATAAAAAGAGTGTTCTCCCAGTTATCTGCCAAAAAACCGGAGAAGACAATTACAAGTATTATCTGCCATCTCCGAGAAGGCTACTCTGAAATGTTAGACAGGTCTCCAATGTCCCGGTCCAGGGAGCAGCCCCTGGGCCCACACTCGGCTCGGGTCCCTAACGCTGCAGGCAGTGGTCCTAAGGCGCTCTCCGCCTCCAGCCACGCTGCAATCCTCGCTCCAGGCACTGCGGCAGGTTCTCACTAAGCCCCCGAGGACTCCTCTGCAAACCTGGCCAGATCTTTCTCCTGCCCCGGAGGACCTAGATGCCCTGGCATCGCCTAGGCTCCAGGACAGAGAACCGGATGCTGCTTCCAGTCCCCATCGCCCAAGTTTCTTCCCAGAGGGCCCAGGAGGCTTGCTCCAAGTTTGCTCCGCTGGGCGAGTGGCCGCGCGCCGGTCTGGGGAGGGGGGCGGCGGGGGGCGCGGGCGGAGGGCGGGGAGGGCGCGGGCGCGGGGGGACCGGGAGGGGGAGGAGCAGGAGCGCGCGGCCTCGGCGCTACCTTCCCCCAAACAACGTTGCCACACGCGGCGAACACTGATTTCTGGGCTTGGGAGGGAATAGAGGGCCGGCTGGAGGCGTCCTGGGGACCACACAGGTGAGCGCCCTCCTCAGGCCAAAGCCCCTCCTCGAGGCCGTGGTGGGCGCCCCTGGCCTAGCTTCCTGCACCCCCAGATCCGCACGGTGGCTCTCCCGAATTCCACACTTGTAACCACTGAACCCCGGGACCCCCTCCCTCTCTCCTCCCTCACCGCCTCCACCCCAGTTGCCAGGAGCTGTTGCACTTTCCCAAGCCTACAGATGTCCCCACCCCCACGCTGCACCCCCTCACCCCATCCACTGCGTCCTCCCCGTTAAAAAATTAAACTAGACACGCCGAAAAGGGGGGCGGCAGGAGTCAGGCGTGAGGAAAGGTGAGCGAGAGAGGACTTACTTTATGAGCAGTGGTGCTGAGCGCAGCAGACAAGAAATAAAGGCCCGGATCCCGGCTTCCTTGAACCCCGAGAATGCAGTAATGTCAGCGCTCCGGTCGGTCGGCGGCGGTGGCCGCAGGGGACAGGGACGAGGACAGGCGCGCGTGCGGCAGGCGCTCGCTCTGCGCTCCGGCTCGGCCCCGGCTCCGCTCCTGGATCCTGGCACCAACTCTGGGCAGTCACATGACGCCGGCGCCGCTCGCTCTGCGAGCCTCCCGGGGCTGGCCGGGTAAGTAGAGGCTGGGACCCGGGGTGGGAGGGTCAGGGAGGGGAGAGGGAGCCGCCGCAGCCGCCCGGGCTGGGCGGGTCCCCACCCACTTGGGTGGAGGCAGCCGCCGGAGGGGTCGGCCGAGTCACTCG